CACAGGGGTGGGGATAAGGAAGGTCCAGAGAGGAGAATCACTTACCAGTTGTAGAGCTGGCCTCTTGGAAAAGATGGTGGTATCCCTAGAAGGCTCTGGGATAATAAAAAAAAATAAACAGTCAAATATCAGAGGGAAGGTGGGGGTGGGTGAGTGGATAGGAAGAGATTAGCCAAAGAACTTGTGTGCATAACCCATGGACACAGACAGTGGGTGGTGAGACCCTGGGGTGGAATCGGGTGGACTGGAGTGGGTAGATGTGGGGGCGGGGGGGGGGGAAGAGGACATATGTAATACTTTCAACAATAAAGACTAAAAAAAATCAGAAAAAAGAGACACAGGTGAGGAGAAGGAAGGTCCAGAAAGAACCACTTACTCACCAGTTGTAGAGCCTGGCCCCCTTGAAAAGATGGTGGTATCCCTAGAAGGCCCTGGGATAAAAAATATTTTAAAAAGGAAGAACAGAGAAGCATGAAACAGACTGTCGAATCTCAGAGGGAAGGTGGGAAGTAGTTAACCAAAGACCTTGTATGCACATATGCACCACCCATGGACATAGTAGACAATAGTGTGGTGAAGGCCTGGGGCAGGGGCAGGTGTGGGCTAGAAAGGGTCAATGGGAGTAGGGGAACATCTGTAATACTTTCAACAATAAAGTTTTGGGGGTTTTTAAGGGGAGAGTAAAGGGATGGGGCCATCTCCTCTACTCTGTCAATGTGAAAATTAAACTAGTAATGGCCCTGGCCGGGTAGCTCAATTGGTTAGAGCATCATCCTGATACTCCAAGATTGTAGGTTTGGTCCCCAGTCGGGACACATACAAGAATCTATTGATGACCCTGGCTGGTGTGGCTCAATTGGTTGGAGCGTCATCCCATGCACCAAAAAGTAGGTTTGATTCCCAGTCAGGGCACATGCCTAAGTTGTGGGTTGGATCCCTGGTCAGGGCATATATAGGAGGGCAACCAATCAATGTTTCTCCCTCCCTCCCTCCCTCCCTCCCTCCCTCCCTGTAAAAATCAAACATATCCTCAGGTGAAGATGAAAAAGAAGGGGTCCACGTGCCTTGGACCCCAGACACCAGGGTGAACCCCTCAGGACTTACGTGTTGTAGAGGAAGGTGCTTCTGTGGGTGACTGGCTGGGTGTCCCAGAGGTCCCTGAGAAATCAGAAAAAGAGGGAATTCTGTGGCCTGTTAACTGTGTTTTCTGAGCAAAAACACTTCTGCCACCCAGATTCCTCGCCTGGAAACTGAACACAAATCTTACACCGCTGGGTGTTAAGTAGATTTCCAAAGCCCCCCTAACCTGAAGAGCATTGTGCCCAGTGAAATAAGCCCATCAGAGAAAGGCAAGTGCCATATGATCTCACTCATGTGTAGAATCTAATGAACAAAACAAACAGATGAACAAAATGGGTCCAGCGGTGTGGGTGCATGGAGCAGACTGACAGATCTGGGAGGGAGGAGGCGGAGCTTGGAAGAGATTAACATAACTTATATGCATATGTATATATACATAGCCAGGGACGTAGATAAGTGTGGGGAAGACCTAGGGGGAAAGCCGGGGCTGGGAGGAAGGGAGCAAGGGGGGACACCTCTAATATGGTCAACAATCTATATATATAAAAGCCTGAATGACCGAATGACCAGTTGACCGGTCACTATGACGCGCACTGACCACCAGGGGCCAGACGCTCGATGCAGGAGCTGCCCCCTGGTGGTCGGTGCACTCCCACAGCGGGAGCGCCGCTCAGCTGACCTTTAGGCGCCAGACACCGGGTTCATGGCTGGCGAGCACAGCTGTGAGCAGTAGCAGCAGGCGCAGCGGGGCCAGGATGAGCTGGAGCTGCAGGCGCCTGGCCAGGGCTTGGGCTCCTGCCTGGCCGTCTGCTGCTTTGCACACTACTACATCCCTCAGGGGATGTCGGACTGCCAGAGGCCAGGGGATCGGGCCGAAACCGGCAGTCCGACATTCCCTGAGTGGTCCTGGATTGTGAGAGGGTGCAAGCCAGGCTGAGGGACCCCCACTGGTGCATGAATCCATGCACTGGGCCTCTAGTAAAATAATAAAGAGCCCGGCCGGTGTGGCTCAGTGTTGAGCATCGACCTATGAACCTGGAGGTCACGGTTCCATTCCCCGTCAAGAGCACATGCCCGGGTTCCCAGCTCAATCCTCAGTATGGGGGCTGCAGGAGGCAGCCGATCCATGATTCTCTCTCATCATTGATGTTTCTCTCTCTCTCTCCCTCTCCCTTCCTCTCTGGAATCAATAAAAATATATTTTAAACATTAAAGACTCCTGGGAGAGAAGAAGCTCTGGTGTTGGCATAAAGTCCACCCTTTGCACCTCTGGGTCCCTCCCCTGGGAGCTTGCATCAGGGCCTGCGGAGGCAGAGGAAGGAAGGTCTGGCCTGCACCCCCTTACCCGTGACCACGAGCTCCAGGGGGTCGCTGGGGGCGGACCACAGGTACGGGTTGCTGCTGGAGAAGCCGTAGCACTGGTAGGTCCCGCTGTGGGCGGCCGTGACCGTGGTGATGGGGAAGTTGGCCCGGTCCCACCGCTCAAGGCCCTTGTAAGGCCCCGTGTCCCCCTTCTTGTACAGAGCGTATTGGTCAAAACCGTATCTGCTCCGGCACTGGAGCGTCACGTCCGCTCCGAGGGGCACCGACGGGCCGGGCTGGGCGGAGAGCGTGGGCTTCTCGTAAATTCCTGTGAACAAAAGAACTCTGGGATCAAAGACAGCAGCCGCTGCCCGGCCGAGGTGTGGCTCAGTTGGCTGAACATCGTCCCCTGCAGAGAGGTTGCCGGTTTGATTCCCAGTCAGGGCACACGCCCGCATTGTCAGCTTGATCGCCAGTAGCGGGGTGAGCAGGAGGCAGCCCCATCCATGTTTCTATCTCTCTCTCCCTTTCCCCTCCTCTCTGTAAAATTTAAAAATGTGCAAAAGTTGCCCTGACCGGTTTGGCTCAGTGGATAGAGCATCGGCCTGCGGACTGAAGGGTCCCAGGTTCGATTCCGGTCAAGGGCATGTACCGGTGGTTGCGGGCACATCCCCCAGTGGGGGGGTGTGCAGGAGGCAAGCTGATTGATGTGTCTAACTTCTCCTATTCCTCTTCCCTTCCTCTTCTGTCAAAAATCAATAAAAATATATAATTTTTTTTAAATGTGCAAAGTTAAACATCCATAGCCCTGGCCCAGTTTGACTCAGGGGAAAGAGTCAGCCCTCCCGACTGAAGGGGCCCCGGGTTTGAGTCCGGGCCAGGGGCACATACCCTCAATGGAGGGCTGGACCTCCCAGCCCCTGGCCCGGGTGGCTGGCAAGAGGAAAACCAAACAAAGGGAGGCTCCCAGAAATAAGTATATGTATATGTTTCTGTGTTATCTGTTC